TCCAAGAATCAGGAGGAACATGAAATACATGTAACAAGAGACGGAAGATTTGTAGTCCACTTGACTGAAGAAAATTGAAAAAGTAGGCTTCTACGTGTATATGAACTTGACTTGAACCCTGACCCCCTCACTCTAGTGTGGCATGCTTTACAATGTCATAATGTTATGGAGTTGATATAAAGTCCAAATAACATTCAGAAGCAATTAAACCTTTGCAAAATCTCCTGGAATCCAGGTTATAAGGCATGGCCGGATGTCAGAGTTCAATTCACACGCAAAGTTGACAAGGATTTAAGTACTGTTAAGTACTGCACTAGGGACTCAGACATGTAGAGTTCCCTCTCAGTAATGTGTATTAGAGGACACTATTTTTTTCATGTCCTTGGTACATGTATGTCCCCAAACTAGCATCAGTAAACTTCTTCAGTTCCTGTAATTTTTCCTAATTCCCCTAAATTCTTCCTTGTGTTCCCAGTTTTTACTTGTTCATCCAACACATTTATTTCAACTCACACACACGTAGGTTGTACAAATTGGATTTCACCCAGGAATGATGCTTTGTTGGCATAAATTTTGCTAATTCATTTAACTGATAACATTCCCCCCAGTTGTAGAAGAAAATTTGCTGGAAATCTACATGTAGGTTTGAACCTTGGGGACATTCGCCCTGCCCTATACCAACTAAGCTTTTCAGCTCTTTGTTGTTGGCTGCCTAATTTATGCTTTGAAGTATAACTGTTGATTTTCACCTCTGGTTTATTTGATGGTGCTGTAATTTCAAGGGATCTTTCTACATTGATTCAAACATGTAGGAAATAGTTTTTGCTAGGGAACAGTGTTTGGTGATTTTAGTCCGAGTTCAAGACATTTGAAATGGGGAGTTTTGTGACCTGCAACATGCATGGAGTGGTTTTAGAGTATTCTGTAAAACATCAGATATTTACAATGGCTGAATAATTCATGTCAGCTGACAGATGGAACGTCAGTTACATGTGTATGTCATTGAATTATTAGCCCCCCCATCATGCCAATGCGCAGCCCGACTGCACTGTAAAGTAAAACATAGTTAGTAGAACATTATAAAATGTATGATCTTATACATGTATGTGATGCAGGAATTTATTCAGACGAGGATTTATTCAGAGTATATTCAGATGGTCATGCAGGGATTTTTTTAAGGATTTGCCCAAGCATTGTGTAACACAAAGAACACATGTAAATGTTTTACATCTGTGCAATGGAAGAATAATTCCATGAGGTAATGGGATGGCATGTTCCATTCTATTTGGTTTCACCTAAAGCTTTTGTCTCTTTCCATTGCACTCATAAATATTCATAATCAGAATGTTGTGTAGTCTGTGCTACATTATGTAGAATATTCATTAGAACTCCAATCTACCTCTGCAGTACACTGTGCCTGCCAAGGCCTGCTACATGATTTATTGTTACACATTTCATTTAAGATCAAGCTCCTTGCAATTAAGGTAACTTTTAGGGGTTTACATGTTTCCAGTGTATTGTTAGGGCTTCTAATAGACCTACAACATAATGATGTAATGCAGTGTTTACCGCAGTGCATTGTGGGTGAAAGGTGGGGATGTTGCAAGAATGCATTGACGTGACACGTTATGTGTAACGTATACTGTACGGCGTGTGTATCGACCTGACACGAGAAAAAGAAAAAATAAAAAAATTCCCGATTACCGTCCGAAATGGTCAATGTAAACTGCTGCGTTCCATTGTGTTTATCAAGAACTCAACGAATGCCAGAGCTGCATTTTTTTAACTTCCGAGGGATCGCAAAAGGCGACAGATTTCCGTGAGAAATAGGGCCACTTATCTACTTTCACCATGTTCACATGGACCATTTTTATTTTTTTATTTTCTTCGTGTCAGGTCGATATGCGTGCCATAAAGTATACTTCCCACCTTTCACCCACAATGCACCGCGGTAAACACTGCATTACGTCATTACGTTGCAGGTCTATTAGTCTGCAAGGGTAATCTTTGAAAATATCATACACGTACATGTATTTGATTTCTCTTTGAAACTCAAGAATGAGTTGTGATGAACTGCTGGCATGTGCAAAACAGGTTAACCAAATCATATGCATGCAATTATGTGACATCGTCTAACATATGGTCTTTTATTTGATTGATCTGCCTTGTGAAAACTGGTCACATGCTGGTATGATTGCGAGAAATTTCTACAACAGATCTGCCTTGAGCCTATAGTGTAGGGTTGCCGTTGGTTAGATTTCAGTAACTGCATGTAAACAAATTAGGAACATGTACCTGCACATGCCAGTGCCTGATTCTTTATTCATTACAAAAATGTTTTGCTTCTACTACCCTATCCATCAGATATTCAGTCTTTGTGATCATTTAACTCCATAAATGATTGCGTGGAATTTAATGTAATTTTTTTCTCCTATGACACAATTTCTGGGTTTTCTCTGAAATCTCTGGATGTACATTTTTTGTTTGCACTTGTACATTCACCTCCATTACCCAACCTGTTCTGCGACTGTGGGCTGTTACTTGACACTGGCTGATGCACTGACGCAGTGTTAACACTGCCTTCCTTCCCTCCTCCCCCAAAATTCATAAGCAAGTTGGTCCCCACATCATAGCTGTGTGAATTGTCCATTATTTCAGGGACGTCACGCTATTAAGACGACATCAGTCATGTCAGTGATCACCCTGTTCTTATAGTGAGTGTCATGCTCAGAGATTTCACAATACCTTGATATTCATTGTCTGAAGAAGCAGGTTGGAATTTGTATCAATTGTTTTGTTGGCTTCAATAAACTGTATTTTTCCCCACGACCGTTATAAAATACTAACCTCCAACATTTCCCTTTATCTTCAGTTCCGTCCGTCACATTGTCTTGTAATCCTTTGTCTGCAAACAATGTATCTGTTTAATTTCCTGTGACTTACAGTTTTATTGTCAGCAATGGAAAGCGTCACGTCTGTATTTCAATGTTATGTATGGTAATTTTTCTTCCTTTCTATTGGACCATGTTCGTCTTTTATCAACTGTCTGCATAAATATTTTGATGTTCGCTGATTTATGTGTTTCTTATACATTGTTCACCATATTGCAAACATCACGTTACATTACGTTCTTAAGTTGAACGATGGCCTGTTTTTATCAATTTTATTTATATAAGTCTATATAATTGTTTTCATTACTTGTTGATCTAAATGCAGCCTCAAAAAGTACATGTAGTCATGAAGAAACACTAAAAATTGAGAAAAACTGAATTTATTTGAAATATATGAAAAGATTTGTTATTCAAGGTAGATGATTTAAGCTCATAATATTTGGTTTCTGGATAACTTTAGATTTCATTTGTCTAAAATTATGTATGTATATGAGAAAAATAGTTCAACATTCGTTGCTAATGATGTAATGAATAATAAAAATTCTATCGCATTTGCAAAACTTAACCAGTAAAGTTCTTCATTTGTGTTTGAAATCTGTTGTCTGAATTCTTTTCTGAATTTATTTGTTATAATACATGATATTTATGTAAACTTTTGGTTGAATTTAACCCTGAAAGACCCGGGGGGTTCTCTAACTATCCCATAGCCAGGTGAACGGGCAGATTAAAACTCAACCCGCATACGCCTTTTTTCTTAAACTGGACGTGCATGTAGAGATTCATTTTGAGTACAATTTTGAACTATCAATCCAAGGGTTTCAATGGGATTTCACGTACGGTCATGATCGTTATTTTGAAGATCATGGCCTCAAGCATGCCGGCCTGCTTGCCGTTACCTGTACGTCAATAGGAAAAGTTGACATTGTGGATGAACTGTCTGAGATTTTGGCACTCGGTGTGGGAAATTAAACTGCGACGATATCAGAGGCAAGTGTAACCACTTGCTTCCCAATGACGTGTAAACACGCATAGTTTTCCTTTATTGTTCCACGGAGGACGTGTGCACTCGTTTATTTTTTTTCATTTCATTGATGTACCATGCGTCGTTCTTGGTTGGATCAAAGTGCGGAAGACGACCTTACATGCGGACGCTGCTACTAAGTGAACTCTCCTCCCAGAATAATCCGGAAATGCCTCTCTAGAGTAGTAAGTATCGAATTGGGGAGCCCACTCATACACCGTAAGAGCTAAGGGGAGTTAAAGACCTGCTGTGTTTTGGTAAACCGATTTGCTAGGTAGTGAAACCACACAAAAGAGTTAAGGTTACAAAATTCCGGCTAGCAACTCTCTGTATTGAAACAACTGCCCCCCCCCCAAAATGCCCGCGGGTGACGCAAATGGTATGGACCTTTTGTATGTCTTACCCAGTTGGCGTCTGGACACGCGCCACAATTTTTACCAGGGCAATTGAAAAACAGATGAAGAGAAGAACTCGGGGCAAAGAACGAAAAGACTGATTTTTCCTTCCTACGTATTTTATGGGCAACAGGAATAATTCTTGAAAACTAACCCGACCCAGCAGCTTTTTCGGGGAGGAAAGACCGACATTAACTAGCTCTGGGGAAAGTGGCGAACCCTGATTGGAAACTTCGAAATTGCTGTGGAATTCTGTTTTGCATATGGTCTCGGGTGTCATGGAAGCGTATCATGTCGGAAATCGCTTTACACATCTTCGCATGAATTACGGTGTGTTTACAGTGGTTTTAATAAAATACTGATATTCACACAAAATCAAATCACGAGAGATCTGTTGTAAGATTTAGAATTTTGGCTTGAAATATGTCACTGTGTCGACTTCTTTTTAACTTGGACGTTGTGAACAAGACACCGCAGTAGAACAAAGTTGTCGGTACTTCCCTTATGCAACTGAAAACATGATCGCTCCGGGGACAAGTGCACCTGATTTCATTCTGGCGCGCCGGCCAACAGTATAGACAACAGCCAGATAACTTACACTGCAATCATTTTTGCAGTCACCCTGTTCCAGTCAAATTTGTACTTGAATGCAATGTTTGTATCCCGCACGGGACAGTTGCCCCAAAGTGCCTGTACACTGTACGTGTTGCGACTGTCAATTGCAACAGTGTCACGTCACGATCCATAGTCAGCAGTTTTTCTGTCATTTTGTTCGCTTTGTGGATTGTTCAACTTGTATCCATTGTTGCATGGTTCCATTTGTTGCTTTGTTAGCCTATCTGTCATTTTTATCTCGGGCCCTGGATTTTGGAGGATTGAAAACTGGGATGAGAATGCCTGCATTGTCTGTTTTTATACATGAGTGACCGTGGATAGGTGTCGACTTTAACAGAGATCATCTGTGAAACTCGGATCCTTGAGAACGAGACCAACTCTCAATCAGCTGGTAAGGGGGTGTCGGTACTTGCTCCTTGCTCTTTCAGACCATGGAGGCCTACCGTCATGTTTAGACAAGCATCAGACCCAGTCTGTACTGTTATTGAGGTTTTTCAACTTGGTCCTCAGTTATTTCAGAGAGGCAGCTGGTCCCTTGCCGTCGACTGAGCTAGCAGGGCCCAGACGCATTACAACTCGTACACCATGCACGTAAGTCATACTTCGTGTCTGTCTGTGGTATAATATTATACATGTAATTATGATCCGAGCACTGTAGGTGTTGACCCGTGACATTGAGCCAAAGTTCAGACAGACCAAGGTATATGCAAGTTAAGAAAAATAAAAGGTATACGATTTTTAATATGGACCTCGGCGGGGTCTGTTAATACATCCATGGTCAGACCCTCAAACATAATACCTTGGGATGACAAGAAGTTCTCGGCACGATATTGGTGACATGGCTGAATAATTTTTACATGAAATACATGTATTGATAATAGACGTGCGTACTTGTGAAGCAGTAGCCGTAGTGTGCGTAGCAATTCTGGTGTGAACATGGTAGATAGAGCGGGTTCGACAGGACTCTTTAGGACTTCGCGTCAGACTGTTTTAGAACCTACACTGGCAACAGGCTCTCAGTTTATGGAAAGTTTCTCTCTATCCATGCACAATAAACTAAACTACTGCCAACGGTCGGACTGAGCCCTAGCCGACTGAAGACGCTCGGTATATACCCCTCCAATACCATGTACTGTAAGAAACATTATTTTGTCAATGGTGGTAATAGTTTGTATGTTGTTTTTGCAAGATTTGTTTTCTTTTTCTGCTTCATACGGTCACGTAGCTCACTGGATACAATTTTGTCGATTCCATGGCTTGGACTTCTTCAGGGCGGATCTAGAATAATAAAGGGAAGGCTAGATTAGGATGCCAATCAGTTCGCTGTTTGCATGCATTTGGCTGTGCGTAGCTATTGCAAGTACACACTGGCTTTCATGATGACAAATACTATTGAAAACGCTACATGTACCCTGTTATGCGTGAGTGATAAACATTAGAAGAAATGCTTGTACAGCTAGCCTCGTGACAAAACCACAGTGTGTAAATCTGAATAAAAAATAAGTCTAGGTCTACCAGTAGGCTCTTACAGACTCTCAGAAAAATAATGATTTAAGTGTGTCAATGAATTGCCCTCTCCTCTCAGGTTTCCACAATAGATAGGTTGATAACTTTCTTTTACATGATTTTGACTCTACCCTCTAGAACCTTCATGACCCGAAATCTGGGTCCGAATTTTGTCAATTTTTCTGGGATTTGTACTTATTTCGACCCACAAGAGAGTCATTTTGCCCGGAAAAGAGTAAAGCGCTTGAAATGTGGAACCAACTTTCCGTTTGAGCCAGGGGCTGAGTGTGGCAACATCTGTACATGTACATGTATATACATGACACATGGACAACCAATCATCGCGTCATATAGTGGCAATGCTTTCATCATTTCATAAGAAGTTTGTCTATAGAGGGGCTGCGTTGTTTTTTATATGGAGGAACACCTGTGACGTTCATGGAGTGAAATTAAAGTGTCCATCATCTTGGTGACTGTCCTGGAATTGTCTACCCAGAGCAGAGCGCAGTCAGTGTGCATGCCCCCATTTTTCATTGTTTAGAGTCTCTGCTCTGTTGACGTCACAGTCATATTTTTCTTACTAAAGCTGCTAAAATTATGGTTGGCCGTCGGTACCAAAGTTAAGGAATAATTCACAAAGTGTTGAAATACCACACAGCTATCAGAACACCGGATACTAATACATGTACTATGAAATATGAAATGAAAATACAACCCTATGTAAAATCAATGGGACAAATGTCCATTTTGAACGGATCGAAGGTAAAACCGAAAACCAACCAAAACGTGATACTCCAGGAAACGTTGGCCGCCCATACAAGTTTTAAGCAAAATGAAAGTGGTCTATACCAGATTTATGGACCATTAGGGTCTGCACTTTCTTCATTCTGCGCTGTCTTCCCTTTTGTATTTAATTCGGCTAAACATGGTTTGTAGAGTGAAAGGAAGGATTGTTTTTCAAATGGAGATTTCGGGCTGCAGGGAGCTGAATGGCACCAAGTAAGAATATATAAATCCCACAAACAATTTTCATGTATGCACGAATCAGTGCATGTATGACATGATCATTGTCTCACTTGTCGCTGCACCTCTGTTGCTGGGAGTGTCCTACTGCTTTCAGAGCCGTATATTTAACAATGCGCATGCGCTGTTAAGTTACACTCAAACGACCTCAGTCGGCCATTTTTTTTATCTCGTTGTTACTCAAATTTCAGCATAGGCTGTGATTCTCATAACGTACAAGGTCACTGAAATCTCACACAATTATTGCCATGTGAATGGTACCATCTGTTATGATAAACGAAATATGTTACTGGTAACCAGTAACATTTCAAGTAACGTTTCAAGAGCAGGCCGCCCGAACTCGCCGCCCTGTCATAGTCGTCTCTTTCGAACTTGCCCAATGCAGCTTCCGCTTCATGTCAATAGCGCCCTCAACAATCAACAAAACCGCGTTTCCCTTTCTCGTCTGTGACCAGTACAGCATCCACCGCTCTCATTCTCAGTTCAAAGGACCTGAATCAATCTCTCCCAGAAAATACAAGTAGGAAAATGAAGGGATCCCAACTAGCAAAACCTATCACTCAGGCACATATATATGTAGAATTCTTGTACACCGAGAGTTTATCAATGTCCTGGCGGGATGCGCTGAAACCAAAAAATAATGTGACCAAAGCTGGAAGAAATAAGCCCAATAATTGTCAGCAAGCAATATATTTTCTAGAGGCGAGATTACAAGCGAAGGCCGTGTTGATGTCGTTACGTCTGTATGTCCATAGGAAACTGAAAGGATGAGACTATCGATAGTTTTTCAATCAGGTCTCTAAGTTTCAAATATAGTCTACCTGATGTGCAAGGGGCTGGTTCAAATAATTTGCATGATAATACTATAAAATAAATATTATGTGCGGTAAATACTGAAGCCCTCATTTCTCTAACCTTGTTCGGTATTAATATGTGAGATGAAATAATATCAGATGATCTAATATGATATGACATGACATACATAGTATGATTATACGACATGAAATGACATAATAGATATGATATACCTTGTCTTTCAATAAACTTACAAATCATAAACGTAGTCGGAATCTAATACTATTATACTTGTCTCTCTTTGTTCTTGCCTGGTGTTTTCCTGTAAAGATTTCTCTACTAATTCAAACCGGTATTTTCCAAATAATCAATATATTGAAGCTTTTAGCTCGGGAAATCCTCCAACAACGTCTTCGCTCAAGTATTGACGTCACTCTGCTCTAATATCGTGCGGGATTTTCGTCAGTTGTCGTTCACCCCCGCCGAGAAATCCCATGGCCATATCTGTGAATTCAGACAGCCACAAATAGTCCCTTTTAAGAAGCCTTACCTCTTCTTTTCACTATGTCCGCATCCCTCCGAGCGCACACCTAACAACGACCGCGCTGCTTGCGTTCAGCATACTCGGAAATAACATCTTCCGGTGGCTTTCGCCCCGTGGTTGCTAGCTGTAAGGAGTGAACATCTATTAGTTAGCGAGTCGTGAATAGCTCGCCAGTTGCACGAGGAGAGCCCAGCGTGAAATTAGAGCTTTAATAAAAACGGTCAAATTGGCAGCAGCTTTCTATTTAATAAGTGGTCCTTCTAATACTTCTTTTGGGTCGAATGAATTGCCTTTGGAGAGCGGGGGGGGGTTGTACATGGGAACATGGTGGCTTTTGAGAGTGAAGGGATTTGACGTTCATGGTCCTGAAACGGCATTTTCCGTTATTTCACGCTTGTGCTTGAAGGGTAAAGTAGTCTATTATTCTGGAGTAGCTAAAGCAATAAAGTGGATATTTTTGGCTTGCACTGGCGTAAGTTCAACAGTGCACGTGTCAATAGTGCATTTGTCGTGCTAATGGAATTTACAGCTCCCTTAACTTGGTATCACGAAACAAGTCGTTATTATTTTCATGTATGGCATCTATACTTTGCAATGACCCGTGTTGAAACAAAAGACTTTGGTATGTACTTTGGTCCTTTCAAAACAGATTATGAGACTCCAGACAGCATGGGTCATACTTATCACCGGACAAACGAATGATGTCTTGGAACCATACAGGATGAAATCATTTCGATTTCTGTCTTTCGGGGAGCCTTGATAAACGAAGAAAGTGGTAGTTATTCCAGCAACTTTACTTGGGTCACGCTTTCCGAATAGTACGATCAACTTTGAATATATCTCATGATATGATTATATTCCTCAATACTGAGCACTGAATTGTAAAGCTATCCACAGTTCTGGTTGGCCCCGGCCTGGGTTGTGTATAGCCTCACGTGCTTGCACGTCTAGTTCTGAATGCTGATGGATTGTGCATAATCGGAATAACAGCGTGCAAACTTGAACAATGCGCCCTGTAAAATCATTTGTTGATTTTTGCAGATGACGTGAGAAGGCCTAATAGAACGTACTACAATGTAATTCTTTGTATCTTTATAGGCCTACATGTATATATTCCTTTGGGGGAATGTTTATGGAAGGGTAGGGGATAGAAAAGCCAGATATCACAAACTTAATTGACAGGGAATTATAACCGACTGGTTGCGCAATAGTCTAGCGAGATGATGTAAGGGCCATGCAACGTAGGCCTACTACAAGTTTCTACTGAGCTAGCTCCACTGCAGCGGACCAATATGATACGGAAGCATATTTAGGACGTGACAAAAAACTATTGATTTTTGCAGGATGGTCTCTACTTTTTGCCGGGTCGCATTATGATACTAACAGGATTCATCATATAGACAGTATTCTGCCCGGGGAAAATACTAATTTGCCCAGGCTTAATCTGCCCAGACAAAATAATGGACATTTTGGAGGGTCACGTTGTAAATACGCTTCCGTAAAATACCCTGCCGGAGTTGTGAAGTACTCGGTCTAGTGAAGGTGGCATCTTATATCCAGATTACCACTTCGGACATTTTTGCACAAACTGTTGACTGCAGCTGAAGTTTAGCACGTCCGGATCACGTCAAGAGTTTGGAACAAGGTAACGTGGGTAATATAAATCGAAGGGAGGGGGTTTAATACGCCACACAGTGGAAAGCTAGCGGCGAATGTTTGTACA